TTTTTTTTGTCGCCAATGAGATTGATGTAATTTCTAATAATGTCTTAATACACGTTATGCTCATAATGATTGTTCAGGTATTTGCCACAGAACGCACTAATTCAACAAGCAAATGTCCTAACTTCTTTTAACAGAGAACTAATTTCCTTTAATATTTGATAGTTGAAAAGATTGAGTATGTGTTAATTAGGTTAATGTATTTCTAATTGATGATGACATAAGTTCCTTTTAAAAATTAAATGTAATTGTATCATTCTCAAATTCAGAATTTTCTAATCATTTACTTACCAAATGGAAAATATTGAACATTAATAGGACAACTACTTTTATAAATCATTGGAGGATCCCATACAATAGCTCCCGATGGATAAACCGATGCTTTAGCTAATCAAAAAATAAAAAAGAATTATTCAAATTTATCAAAATTAAATCAAATCATACTCTTTAATGGTGCATGATATGCTCCATCAGCATTATTATACTTATATAAGAAAGAAAAAAACGCCAAAATCACAATCATTTTTTTTTTATCAAAATAAGAACAACAACAACATACCAAAACAATATCAGGTAGCCATAATGCCTCTGATGCAATATGCATAATACAAATATTATCATAGAGTGCTGGATTCCATTTTAATCGATAATCAAACCATTCCTTTTTGTAGATTACTACTGATTAATTTTTTTTTTGTTTTTTTCAAAACAAACATTACTTACATGTTTAAGCCATACATTTGTTGTTATTATTTGACGTTTTTCATCCTTAAATTAACAAAATTATTCTTTTGATAAATAAATAATTGCAATCAAAATCAAATCATACAACATCAATTAATTGTGTTACACTTAAACTAATTGCTACATTCAATACATCAGTCGCATTATACACTGGACGAACCTATTAAAACAAAAAAAAAATATTAGTCCAACTATATTCTTGGCATAAACATCTATTTACTCGTTTATCATAATTACGCATTAGATCTTCATATAATTTTTTCGCTATGTCACTTGCATTCATATTCTTGTCTATAAATATCATTTTCGAAAATAAAATAATTAAAATTTTCAAAAACATTCTTTATAACCTACATGAAATCAATAAAAAGAAAATCAACCATATGTAACTGTTCATTATATTTATAATCAAGTTCCTTTTTTTCTTCTTTCTTTGTTCAATATACTTTATAATCAAGTATTTGTGGAGAGTGTGCAAAACGGAAATAATAAGTGAACATGACATTTTTGTTTTTTTGTGAATGGCGTTGAAAAGAAAGACAAACTAATAAGTCCTTAGGGATGAATTAGGAAAAAATATAATTATGAAAAATCTTGATCAAAATTTCTTTTTTTTTTGTTCACTCCTTGCATATCTTTTATGTATAAAACAAGAAAGAAGAAGAAGAAGAAGAAGAAAAAAAAAA